GCCCAAGAGTTGCATATACATAACTTACAAATGATTCGTGATATGTCTATTTCTTATTCTGATTTGTTATTATATTCTTGCTATTGTGATCGGGGACATGTGACTGATATTCTTTTGCTTGACGCTTAGCGTATTAGATTGAGAAGAAAAGAAAAAGAAGAAAAAAAAAATTTAGTGTATATTTCTCCTCAATCTAATATGTCGCAGGCTTGTTCACATTCCGATTCTCGGGTATTTTGGGAAGCGGTGTTATACTCACCTATGCTTTATGATAGGGGGAGCTTTCGCTCTCTTATTCTTTTTGTCCCCTTTTTTTATGTTGTCAAAGGGGGAGAAATATTGTGAGTATAGTCTTTCTTGTTTATATGCATGATATATTTTACTTTGTATATTCATTTCCTTTCATGCATATATATTTTTTGTAAATTGTTTGTCATCATCAAAAAGGGGGATATTGTTGGCCTCTTTGTTTTGATGATGTTTAACAAACAATTTACTACTAATGTTGTTTGTCTAGTATTTAAGGAAACATATGGTGCCCAAGTGGGAGATTGTTGGATTAAATCTAATTATGGGCACATATGTTAAATTATTGTGTAATGTTATCTTTAAAGTTAATCTGCATAAAGTGATTAATCAATTAATTGGGTTAATGGGTATTTAAATATGTCATGGACTAATTGTGTAGATACCCGATTGTAAGTCTAATTTGATGAGGGCCGGGGTCAAATTAGGAAATAGCAATATCTATATAAAATGGTTATGGTCCCTAATCTAAGGGTGACGTTCTGTGTTTTCTTAATCCCCATCTAGAGAGAAACAAAAGAAGAGACCTTTTAGATTAGAAAATCTCAAACCGCTAATTCTTCTTGTTAATCTCCTCTTTGAATTAATCATGGTTCTTAATTATATTGTATGATTAAGATCGAATAAGGATAACAATGAGTTGACAAGAAAAATGTGCATGGTGCGTGGCTGCGTGCCTTTATTAAGGGTATTTATGGAAGTTTAGTGAAAATTTGAATAGAAATTGGGTGTGCGTGGTTGATTGAAGGGAAAACATACTTAATTTATAGGTAGTTTTGGTAGACATTATAATTTGTAGGTGGTTTCTATACAATTATCCTATTTATTAGGTGGCTTCCATGGTGAAAAAAAACCTAATAAAAAGTAAAACTTGAGTGGAGGTCCTTAAGTCATCGGTGAGGGTCCATCTCGTTGTCTCTACATCAGGCTAGATCTTATTTACAAAATTTCGTTAAACCCTGCTGATATGGAGGTGATGTGGCACAATAAACATGTAATTTTACTACTTTTTTGTTGATGTGGCAAGCCAAATTTAGGCTTTCACTAATTTATTGCTAATATAGCAGAGCCATGTCAACATTATGCCAACGAGATTTGACGGGAAGTTTAAATCCGAACCCACGTCTCTAAAACCCAAATCCACTTACTCATTCTTCTCCAATGGCCCTCTACCTCCCAAAACCCAATATTGAGCTTTTTAGAATAGTTAGGTTTCCTCCAAATCCTATAAAATCTTCTAAATTTGCATTGCACACCATTTCTCTTCATATCAAGGGCAATAAAGTAATTTGAGATGTTGGGTTAACGTTTAACCCAACTGTGGTTGGGTTAGTTAGCAGAATTTCTAACAGAAGGACCATTTGGCAAGAATCTTGAAGAGTTAAGGGACTAGTAGGCATTAGGCAAATAATGAGATTTTGAGGGATTATTCGGCAATTAAGGTTGACTTAAGGGACTGATATGCAATTAACCCTACATAAAATAGTTCCAATTTGTGGAAAGATAATAGAGAGAAAAGAAAACGACGTAGATACTGTGCATACGGATAATCCATTTTCAAACAGAGATTCCAAAAACGGAGTTCGGCTCCTTGACAGAGATCCGCATTTTGAAGGTCCGCGAGTACTCTGGTCCCTGGATACTCGCAAATCAGCGGCGCAAACTGATCATATACTGGTAAGGAAAATTACAATTCGTTATGTATATCAGCCAATTTGTATATGTATACAAATCGAATAAGATAAAACTTAGTGCGTATATGAAATAGATACTATGGGAGTGAACAAGGCTGAAAAATATATATGCTATGCCATATAAATTTTTTTTTTAATGAACCGAATTTTTTGAATTAGAGTTCATGAATGTGTTCGACTACATATAAAATCCATTAAAAGCTCTTAATTTCTTTTATGTGACTCAAATACCAAATGTGCTGTTATATCATAAATAGTCACCAATGTGCTTGATGTACAAAAATGAAAACTGGAGAGAATATGTGCATTTAACTAAGAGCCTTGGCGATTTTATGAATTTCAATTTTACTCTTTTATAAAAGGCGATTTGGGGCTTCGAGATCCTCTACATCTTTAGTTGTAGAGAGTGTCTACAACTCACCAATAAAAATATTTCAGTCGGTGGATCCCATGAATGATACTAAGTAAATAAATTATATTTAAAAAAACATTTTATTTATGGGGCCCATTAGATGAACCAATACTATACATCCACTTAAGTAATATTAGGTAGTAGACATTGCCTACAATTAAGAAAGTAGTGGATAACTTCTTGAGTTTGGATGTCAAAACTTTTGATTGCTTTTTTTATCCTCTCAAATTTTAATAATCTCCATTATGCTTGCTAATAATTGTCTTTCGTTATTTACTCATAACCTCTAATTAACTCTGTAACTTCTCATATGCTTAAAATTTTATCACTCGCTAAAATAAAATTAACAATTTATAATAGTAATGTTATATATAAAATATGTCACAATTTATTATTGTTATGGTATTTTCAGTCGGCAAAGTACGACCCTTTGCCAACAACGGATATATGTCCCCTTATTTGCACCGATCAAGTCAGATTGACGGTCAAAGCAACCAAGGATCCCGACGTAGCCGACCCGTCGAGTCGACATCTCCTTATGTCGACTCGAATGGCGGTACTTGCCGGTTCTCTTATCGAAGACGACCCACAACGAGTCCACTCGACCAATTATTCGACGTCTCGCGAAGTCGACTTGAAATGTGTTACTTCTCGGCGAAGCTAAAGCACGACTTCAGCCTCGAGCCTCTCCCGCTGACAACATGTAGCCGTCGCATTTAATGCTTGGCAGGCGCATCATAAATCTAGCCCTAATAGTCTTCATGACTTATCGGACCACGTCAGCACCGTCATGCCTCCGATCATTTCTCATTTAATGTTGATGTGATCTCTTCTTCACTCGCCAACCGGCACATGTAAAGTAGGTTCTAACACAACCGCCAGCCCATACCTACTCACCGTCATTCTGTGCTCGGCCGAAGTGTCCATTCTACCCTTCCATCACTACTGTAAATAGAGGTACAATTCTCAACATAAAAAGACTTTTAAAATATTTGCTAATAATACTGCACTACACACAAGAAACTTTCACAGTTCTTCATTTTACCTACTCAAGTTCACCAGCTGACTTGCCAAGTCCCGTCCTCTCACGAATTTCTATTTGTGCAGGCTGAAAACCACTCTACTCAATATCAGATATTCAGAGAAGTGAGCGGCCCCTAATCAACATAACCTCGATATATTTGACTGTTTGGTTACCCATCGTCAACAATTATATATCATTATTAATTATCATAAAATTGTATAAACTATTTATCTAATAAATTATTGTACATAATATACTTATTAATAATAGCAGAACTATTAATTGTTTAATAGTAGTATAATAAAATAATTTATTAAATAAGTATACATATATTATAAAATATTAATAGTGTTAAATAATTTAATAATGTCTTATAAATTATCATAAAACAATTAAAATATTAGTATTTTTAAAATAAAATAAAATACTATAAATAAAATAATAACTATTGAATACAATTAAGGAATACACTATTAGGCAATAAATAGTATAGTTAAAATAATATAATATTTGGTAATATAGATGGTACAAATATTTTTATATCATTAATTAAATTAAGAACAATACTATCATTCAATTATATAGGATATTGATTTATCATAATTATCCTAAATATTTAAATTATTAGAATATGTCTCTCAACCCCCCCCCCCCACCACCACCCAGCCACACACAACACTCTCTAAACTTGTGTTTTTCTTAATATAACAATTAATTAAATTAAGAACAATACCGGTCATGCTACAGTAAATACTAGTAATCATGGACATTAAACCAAATCCACCCTCTATATTTGAAATACTATTCACACTACAGTAAAAATACTATGTTTGCTACAATATTACCATTTGAATCCTTCTTTAAACATGGATATAATTTTTAAATTAAATGTATTAAAACTTGGATCATTTTTTTAAGTATAAATGAGTAAATATGAATTCTACATCAAATGCATTAAAACTTATATCATTCTTTAAGTATATAAGAATAGATATAATTTCTAATTTTAAGCATACAATTATCAAATCAAATGCATTAAATTGGGGTAATATCTTAGTTTAATTTTGATCCTCGTTAAGCTTTCACAGATTTCATCTGTCATCGGGCTCAATATGGACGCCATATTTAAGGCCCAACAGGCCCTGTACAAGTCTAGTGTAAGCGGATTGATTCCTTTTGATTTAGGGGAAAAGGAAAAAAAAAATCCCTTCTTCTCCTTTTAATTCCTCAGTAATTAAACACAACCATAAGGATTTTGTGGTTGATAATTGATAATTACGACTAGGTGTAGCAGAGGGTCAATATGAATTTATTCAACTGGAACTAATGGATAGCAATTATCATAAGCTTTCACTTATGGCATTAAAAAACATATATCTAGCATATTTATTTTAGGATTTAGATTTAGGGGTTGTTTGTTTGCCAGAAAAATGAGAAAACCCCCCGCTATGTCACATTTCAAGAAATCCTCCCTGCCACGTAGAATTTTGGTTTCAACCGATTTTCAAATCATATTTTTGTTTCGTTTTGTGATTTAAAGAAATGAGGGTGTCACGTACGATGTCACGTCAGATTATAAAAAATGTGTTTTCACACCAAAAAACTCTGAAAACACTTGGAAATGTCACTTCTATGAATTTTAGTTACTAAAAATACTGCTGAAACAGTCCATGTGAATAAAACAGATTATTTAAATGCTAAAAACACTGTTACTATTGCGGCTGATTTCTTTTTTCTTTTTTTTTTCAAACAAACACAATAAATGGAAAACTAAAAGCACCGTTACTATTGCAGTTTTTTTTGTTTTTTGTGTGACTTGGCGGTGAAAGAGGTGATTTTTTTGCGAAAAAAAAAGGAATAGTGAGAAATGTCATAAAAGCAATTTAAATCATTTGAAAACTGAGTTTTCCATTTCCGATTTTTTTTCGGAAAACAACCAAACAGACCCAAGAGGGATTCGCATACGCTCCATTGGCAAGCGTTAAATGTCATTAACAAAACAATAAAGCAGCACTCAAACGCATAACAAGTACTTGTGACAAAGTGAATCTCATTCAAAGTCCCAAGTAGTCAGCAGGGAGCAAGTACTTGGTCAGTCGTGTCAATCCTAATCCCTGGTCAAAGTCCACAAAACTTACGGCTCGTTAGAAGGGAGAATGCATCCTTTTTCTAATTGGACCTCGTATCTTTCATATTTCACATTAGGTCTTTAATTTGTTTTAGTTTACACCCCTAAATTTTTTTATTGTTTAAAATCCACGCTTGTTTTCATCATTTCTGTATTTTGTCCAATATAAAAGTTAACCATGCTAGATTTATTGGGATGAGTAGAATGAAGGGCATATGTTACAAGGGGAAAAAAAATTAACGGAGTGTTGGTGAGTTAAAAGAAGCAAAACGCGTAAAAATTAACAAAACATTTAAGAGACGAGGGGAAATTGATAATTGATCGTTGGAATTAGATTCACTTCATAAGAGAGGTAACGTTGTCCAAACAGTGTAAAATATAAAATTTAACGAAATGTACTCTAAAACTACAATTAAAACTACCTCGCAATTTAATTTAAAATAACTAAAAGTTTCTTTCTTTCTTTTTTTTAAACATAGCTAAAAGGTTTGAATGTAGTTAAAACATGGATATTTGAAGGTCTACAATCAGAATAAGTAGATAAGATAACATCATTAACCTATATATATTCGGCAATATTTATTCTTATCCCATATAAATTTATCTATCTAGACATTGAGAAGGATAAACTCATTGGGATATTTATGCAGTTCCAATAGTCATTGAAAGTTTAGTGCAAATTGAGAAGTTATTTGGAGTTTACTACAAAATGCTACAATTTATTAGGGATTTTTACTCTCTCAAATCATTATAGCAGCTAGTACCTCCTCCAAATCCGTACATCTCTCTATTTGCATAACTATCCAAACAGATTAACTAGGATTGAGTTAAGGGTTAATCAGAGGTATGCATTTGTTTATTTATTAAACAGATATCGGGTTTGGAATCCCGTTTCTTAACGGGTTCAAGTAGCTAGGCAATGGAGTTGGGAGAACAAGGGAGTGGTATAACGTTCCACTTAACTAGAGAGAGACCTATTTGCAACTCCACTAATGTGATTTGGGGGACGTAATCGCAACAATGATGTTTGAGGGAGTTGCACCGAAGCGGTGATGATTTGAGGGAGTAGGATCGAAATAACCGCATAGCGTAATGTGCAATCCGAGTTTTCAAGTAGTAGTAATAAAAAGTAAACAAGGGTGTTGTTATTTTCCTCCTTTCTCAAAAGAGTAGGGGATGTTTGGTTCGTTTTTTAACTCGGTAGAAAAGTTTTACACTGCCTTCACATCAGAATTTTCGTGGTCACGTAGGATATAAGATTTTCGTCGGTTTTTTTCCCCATATTTTGTTCGCTAGGGTTGAAGAAGGGAAACTCGGTGAAAATCGCCGCCACATCAGATTTTTTTCTCTCCTCCAATTCCTTCCTCAACCTCGTGATATCGACGAAAACTGCAGTCACGTCAGTTTTTTGCCATATAAACAAAAGTTTTCTCTTTTTTTTCCATGCGAACCAAACACAAGAAAAATAAATACATTGGTTTCCCATTATTTTTATTGTGCGAACCAAAACGAAACAATCTATTTCTTGAAAAAGTTTAAAAAACTCAAAACTTGTGTTTTTGTACATGAAAATACATTTCCCTATATCTAGGAAACCAACTAAACAGCCAAAAAAAGAAAAAGAGAAAGAAACTAGTTGGGCAGTAAAAAGAGGAAAGTGGGAAGACGGAAGGGAGAATGGAGGTGTTCCACATGGTCTCGCTGTCTCTCATGTACCCCTTCAACCACTTGCTCCTCCTCCTCTTCTCCTCCTGCTGAC